ACTAGTACTTTTGGTCTGTCCCTTACYAGTAAAACAGAAATTATCAAAAACACCAGTCGATTACAAGTAAATCAAAATAGAAAGCCAAAATGCAAAACCATATACCCACATACAAATACAGTCCTGCACACAAAAGTGTACGCCAAGACTCAAACACAAAGCAGACATGGACATTGAGCCCATATATGAATAAACTGAGGRCACAAATGGGCTAAAATACTGTACACCACACAACTTTTACCTTTCTTAACAAATGCAARTATGTCCAAGTAGACATATACTCATCAATCTGCCAGTGTCAGCCTGCATCAGTGGTGTCTGCTAACACACACAGCTTTGGTGCTTTCACCGAGGGCTAGAGGAAGTACAGGCACCTTATGACTGTATTCAGTCAGTTCCCACCTGCTCACTTGTCCTATATTAGCATAACAATGGGCAATTAAATACACATGGACAGATACCACTTATTTTATTACCTACTGAAGTTCTCCTCCCCAGTCCTCTCTTACCTTGCTCTTTTCTATCTTGTTCTCATACCTACATCATATGTTTCATTCACCCAGCCATTCATACACTGCTTCCTTCCTAAACCGCTGCTCACTTGTTGCTTCTTCACAACTCCTACACCTCCCCACTGACTYTTGCTACCCAAATTCCCCTTAGGTTCCCTAAGCAAACTGCCATGTTTACACTGCTAACTCACTTTCTCTGACCACCATGCCCCTCAGAGGGCTAAGTCCTCCCCAGCTGCCTTTGACAGGGCCCACTCTGTTCCAACAGATCAAACATCTCATTCCTCTCCTCCTGCCAGATCTGGGTCCRGGAGTACCTTCCACAGTGGGGAGCGGAGCTGCTCCTGTCACTCCATGCACTCACCAAGGCAGGAAGCAACAGAGGAGGACACAGRAATCATGGCACCTCTTACTGAATTCCCATACAAAGGACCATTCTGGTCACAGCAATACCCACAAATGGTTTCAAGCAATATTCCACTTCTGCCAGTGCTGTGTGCAGAAGCCATGATTACCCCACTGACACAGTGTACGTTACACATCCACACCAATTCACCTGACCGCAGTGACTGACAAAGTCCATCACAGTATTCACCAATTCTGTCACCAGCCAAAAACCAACATTTCCTGACCTCTCAAAAAGTCTCCCAGCAGCTCTTTTCTACCAGAAAGAGAAAGGTACAGGACAGAGCTTCCTTGTAAATAGAAACTGATCACCTAACTTCAGTAAGCCACCGATGTAATGAATGGCACCCAAGCGTAAGAGATGGACTCTAGTTCATCTCCTCATACACTCAGATATGTCTTAACAACCTCCCCTTCCAGGCTTTTTGCCTCATACCCACAAAGGACTCCCTCCAGACACAGACCTCCACTGATTTTTGCTAAAATRTCTGGAGTTAGATGAAGAGAGCAAAGACATCAGTGAGAGAGCAAACAGAACCACAACACACACACATGTGAAGGGAACYGACAATCCTGAATTCCAGTTGAAGCAGTCAGGAATTCCCACTCAACACATTTGAGCCATCAGGTACACTCTGAGAAGACATATACAGTAGCTCTGCTTTGCTTTTTAAGGACAGTAGAGCATACCAGGCAGTGAGTATTTGGAGAAGTCCCACTTGCCTCCAGTCTTCCTGAAGGCCCAGTGCAGCTGAACTGATTCCATGACAATCAGTTATAAGTGATACCAGTTCCTATTAACGGTAGTTAGAATGAGTGACTCCACAAGCTGTAATTAGAATCAAAATTCTCCCTGTGCCTTGGAATTGACTACATTTCTAGATTTCATACCACCATTCTTCAGATAATCCTTTTCTGAATAATGTTAGCAGTAATGACAATTATGAATTTTGGCAAATGTGAGAAATACACAATTGCTCCAGTTTGGGTGCTGTTTTTTTCTTAAATAACTGTCAAAGGTATCCTACTTCCCCACAAAACAACCAGGATACTAAATATTCAGGACTGTTACTGAACTCTAACATTACATGTAGGTAAGGACAACAACTCTTCACACCAGCAGTCACAAGCATCCAGACAGACTTTGGTGTGCACACAACAGACATTAAAAAAACTTATGRAAAAGGATCTATTTTAATGCTTCGAATTCCAGCTCTCCTTTGTCTCCAAACKGTGCCTTGAACACAGCACCATGAACTGCCAGGAGACCCTCTGAGAAGAAATGAAGCTCCAAGTCCTTTGGCATGGGCAGTTGATCCAGGTAGCCAAGAGATGAAGATCAAGTTGAGGCACACAGAACARCAAGAGTGAAAAGACCTAAACCAACCCCTTGTTTGATTGCAAGGCTTGAGGGACATGGCTGCACAGTGAGGACTGCCCAGCATAAGGACAGGGCAGTGTCCCTTCATCTCTGTCCTGTCACCTGGAGGACTTCAGTCTGTGTGCATTAAAAATGGTGCAGGATATARAATTTAAAACAAAACTGGATGGCCTGTGAGAGACCTTCTGGGTCTGCTATGCTTGCCCCAGACATCAATGTGATAGCTCTCAATTTCCCTAAAGACTTCTTCCCTGTACCACATCCTCACAACTCCTCCCTATGCCGAGGCTCAGACGAATACCCYGACTGCAAACACTCCTTATAAAACTGCCAGTCCTGACACCAAACAGAAATCCCCTGCAAGGGGCTCTCACCTCAGCCAAGCTTGCCCAAGCACCTTGGGGTAGGGTCTCCAAAAACACCAGACTGCTACCCAGGGGACCAATGTCACAGTCCCTTGGCACGGGATTTGTTCCACCCTCTCCCACTCCCACCTCCCTCATGGCAGCCATTGCACAAGCCAGTGTTTCTGGCTAAAAATTAACTGAGCAAAACTTTTTTTTTTAAATATAATTACTTGTTTTCAGCTTAATGACTTCCCTGCTCCACCTTGCCATGCTGTTTAAGCCAATTGAATCAACACTGACGCAGTCCAACCTACTCTTCTCCCCACCCAGCAATGCATTCCTGCACCTCCCTTGCTCCAATGCCTGCAAAGCCCCACGACAAGCCCAAGCTGAGTATCCTAACTGCAGAATGCTYGACACTTTTGGTGGTTTTCCTCATTGAGCTCAGCTTGTCTTGGCATCACAGGAGCACGTGCAGTAGGCAAGGCGACCATGCATCCGAGGGAGAAGCCAGAGCTGCCCCAGCAGCCTGCACAGCTCTTGCTGCCACATCCAGCCCCTTCCCATCCCACSCAGAGCCCACACAGGTGGCATGGCAGCACAGACATCTCTATCCTCCTGGGATGGAGTTTCCTGCAAGTTCCAGGAACCATCACCACCACAGCAACCTGCTGCTCCAAAGCCCACACAGGATCCCACACTCAGCTCCTCCTGGCACATCTAAACACTCACCTGTTACCTCAGGAAAAATCACCAGCACTGGGCATCATCATGCTGGCCCCATAGTCCTGAATGTGTATTTAAACAGCCACTTTAAACCAGCTACAACAGAATCAACTGCCCTTCCTCCACCCAGAGAGAGCATGCAGATGCTATCAAGCTCCCAGAGCATTACAGGTGCCAGGGTGCAAAGCCAAGTCTCAGCCTTGGAGATACAGGTAATTCAGAGGAACGACTCAAACAGGAAAAATGGGTCAGGTGGAAATACAAGGGGCAACATGGAGGGTTCTAACCGCACAAGTCTAGTTTTTATTTAATCACAACTGCTTTGGCATATCACGGTAAAGTTTTTAACCCGTGTATTTTCACAAGGTCTGGGATTCTTGTTTTTGAAAGATGGTTAATACTACCTAGACAAGGCCCAAAAGGTACCCAATCCTTCACACAAGGGAAGCTACAAGAAGCCAAAGTCCTCATTTTTACTTTAAGTAAAACTCTTCGGGTTAATCATCAGTTCTCTGCCCAAACAAGTCCCCACCAGTCTCAGGAGAGTCCATACCAGRAGGACAGAATACAGAATATAGCAAACAACTATTTCATGACAGTACCTCCACTTATGTCACACAGAGAGCAACCTTTCCTTTTACCTGGCCCCAACACAGAGCAAACTGCTTCTTTTATATTACCATCCCTGTATAAAATTCATTAAAAAAAAACAAAACAAAACAAAACCAATCCAGCACTGTGCCACCTCAGCCTAACCAGGCCAAAAATGTTGTTCAAGCAGAGAGTATTCTTCAGTGTTCTAACTTTAAAAGAGTGTTCTCACTCAAAAGGTGTTCTGAGGCCTTTCTGAAAAATAAATATCCACCGTTTTTGCAAGGCTGCTCAACCATCAACAAGTGCCGGTGGGAACCAACACGACCCGCTGCAGCACTGTAAATTTCCATCGAAACGGAACGAAACTGAACCGCAAGTTCGCGTTGAACTAATTTCACTTCAATGTTTGTCTCGAGCAAAGCACACACCGGAGGCGGAGGGTCGGAGGAGATCACGGGTGGCCGGGGCAGTGCCATCGTGCCGCAGCCCCGACCCGGCCGCCGCCAATTGCCGGCCGCACCGTGGGGTTCCTGGGGGCACGGGCCGCCCCCGCCGCACATCGCTCCTGCCGGCTCCCCGGGATGCTGCTACAGCCGCGGCCTGCACCGCTCACCCGGAGCGGCCGCAGAACCGTCCCCGGTCGGGAGAGACCAGAGCCGCGTCCAGCCCGGCCTTTGTCCCGGTGGCCGGGGCCGAGCTCGGGGCCGAACTCCGGGC